GAGTGTGGAGGAGGAGGAGGAGGAGGAGGCGAATCCGGCTCGGGCGAAGAGGGTGCCGACTGCGCTGTCGCCGGGCAGGCCGGAGTCGAGCCCGGGGCCGGTGAGCAGGCATTGCTGGAGCGTCATCGAGGCCAGCATCGAGTCCATGCCGACCGGGGGTAGGAGGGTCGTGGAAGCCGGGGCGGGCGTCAGCACATCAGAGCGTGTCCTCGCGGGGCGGGCCTGCGTCTGTGAAAGCGGCCGCGGCGGTGGCACGAGGCAGCAATACGGTCGTCTGGTGCCGAAGAGTTCAGCCTCGAAGGGGGGAGCTGGCGGGGCGGAAAGGTAAAAAGTCCGAGAAACGGTGAGTGAGCGGTTGTCGTGGCCGGCGAGGCGACCAGAGACGACGAGAGGCGACGAGAGGCGAGAGGAGAAAAAGCCGGCGTAGCCGCGGTGGGCTGCGGGAAAAGTGAAGCCGAGTCGCCTGCACCGATCGCGTGTAGAGGCGGGCAGACAAGGGGGCGAATTGAGACGGTGGGCCGGCGCCCGAGGCGAACGCGATACTGCGGCTGGGTTAGGCGGAGGAAGGAGAGAGTAGCTGTGCGTGTGTATACGTGTGTGTGCTTGTGTGTGTATGCGTGCGACGCGGGTGCGAAGGTGAGAGAGGCTGAGCTGTCGGCTGGTCGACCAATCGCAAAGACCGGCAAGGCCGAGAGACGAGGTGTGCTCGACTGGGCCAGCCAGCCGCCGACCGAGGGTCGTATAGACAGACGTGGAGCAGAGGCGAGGAGCGAGCGAGAGAGCAAGAGGGAGAGAGAGAGCGGGACGCGGGACGATGAGCAGCGGACAGACATGGGGCGTGCTCAAAGGCTGAAAGCCAGTCCGCTTGAGTCCGCCCCGGAGAGCAATACTCACCAACACGTGAGCAGACATCGCTGCCAATAGGCGAAGCGAGCAGATGACGCCGCGAGGTACACTAAAAATGCGTGCGTGCACTCGCCTCCTGGCGTATGTGTGTGCGTGCGTGCGTGTGTCTGTGTCGGCAGTACGGGGCCGCCCGCACTTCCATCGCTTGGAGGCGAGAGAAGCCGAAAAGTCTTGCACCTCTCAGCCTCTGTTTGCTCTCTAGACCAAACGCTTTCCTTACACACACCGTCACGCACACGCACACATGCACACAGGCGCACATGCAGACGCCCAGCGGCGCAACAACAGGCCCGCCACGCACCTGCCTCGACTCGCCTCAAGATACTCGAGGTGATCACGCCGCGATCGCGGCAGCACAGCCACGAAGACAGACAGGTGGCGCTCAGCTGGTCGATACGAGGCGAGGCGAGGCGAGGCGAGGAAAGGCGCGGTCGCTTCCGGTCGCCTCAGACAGTCGGCCAGCTTCGTGAGGGCCGCCGCAATGCAGCCAGGCTGCCGGAACGTGATGGCATGAGTCATGCCGTTGCGCTTCGACGCCGGCAGCGCCAACATCGGGCGGGCAATCCGACAAAGCCTCGGTTCCGGCGGCCCGACGCTGCATCGGCTGCAGAGTAGGGCAACTTTATCGATCACGTAGACGTGATAGAAACGCACTTTCCACGCGGTGCTGTCGGCGAGGCTTGTAAGCACAAAAATAAGGGCGCTATTCGCTGGTCAGGCCTCTGCAACGCGGCATCGCAACATGAGACCCACCTCCGCGGCCTCACCAACTGACGTGAGGCCGACGACATAGGCAACTTGGCCTCGATAAAATGCGACGATAACCACAGCCGATCCGATCCGATCCGATCCGACCCGTCTTGACGTCAGCGTCGGGTGCATGACGAGCCCCCTTTGATGACCTCGACGATCCCACAGTTCGAATGCCATCTACCCACCAAGATACAGCCTCGCAACCGGTACGCTTTTCCAGCCCAAACACAAACACACACACGTACACGCTAGCCTCCGCTTTGGGTTGCTACGACGGCGCGCCTGTCCCACCAGATCATAAAGGGCCGCGTCAAGTCTTGAACTGGGACGACGGGCTCGACCAACTGAGGCAGAGGATCTTTCTAATCGGCTTCTCTCACGTTGCCGAGGCTTCTGGCAATCGGTGCCCGGTTGGATGTGCACAACCGTCACGAGGCCGTGTGATGTTGGCTGACACGATTGCCTCCGATGGCAAGACGAGTCCGCGTCCTGTCTTGACTCCGTCGGGGCCTGCCCTGTGGGCTGTGGGGCTAGACAGGTGGGGGGGCCCAATTAGGCATGAGAACACCGGAATTGCCGAGATGGCAACCAGAATGGCATTACGAATGGATGGACTAGCTTGATGTAGACATTTGAGTTGTGCATGTCACAAGTCTAGCCAGAAAACGAATTTTATGAAAGCTATGCTTTAAAGTTGGGAGTAGCATTTCACTTAGAATTTGGAGGATAGTTGACCTCTTCCACACACGATGTCAACCAAGTTCATTTAATGCATGCAAAGAGTATCTTGGTCTCGATGAGTCTCGCTTGAAGTGACAATATTGCGTGATGAAGCGATTCGCAGGTCGTTGAGATGGAAACACGAATCACTTCATCTCGCGTGTTCAG